TATATATATATATATATATATATATAGTGTGTGGGTATGTACTTTACAATACAAGTGTAGTATTTTTGTTTGTTTGTTTTCTCAAGCTGCTGGCATGCTTGTAAAACAAGTATTTTCACTTAAACATGAATATGCCTGGCATGCCTCAGTTCAAATTACTGCATGTAGATGGTTTTTAGAGCTGTGGTTTTTAGACTGTGATCACCTCTTTGAGACAGAGCCTGTACTCTCCATGCTGCTATGTTGCCATCACTGTTAAATATCTTTTTCAAACTGAGTCACTTAACACTATCGACACAAAGTGTTATGAAATATTATTTCAGCCCTAAGAAAAAAATCTTAAAGTAGTTTCCATTAATGTTGGTATCACAATAAACAAAGGGGCATGATAATTACTGAAATTAGAGCATTTGACTTTACCCCTTTGTTACACACCTCTACAATTCTTGTCTGGTTGTTTTTATGTATGGTTTTCCCTTGTTAAATATTTGATTAAGTTGTATATGCAGAGAGAACACAATAGTGCTATAATGAGAACAGCTATTTCTTAACCCTCAAACAAGAATATAAAGCAAGACCTTTTGCTCTATGCATTTTACTAATAATGGAGGCATTAAATAACCTTCCTCTTGCATATAACTAGTAACTAGCAGAGTCATCATTTGAATCTAGTAATCTAATCTCTACTTTTAAATATTAATTATAGATACCCCAGCCAGATATTATTTCTACTATGCTACATTAGAATTATGTTCTCAAGACTGTAATTAGTCACCTTTTTCCCCTTTAGGGTACAACCAATCAAATGCGCAAAAAAAGACTCTCCAGTTCTTACTTCCTGTCTGAGGACATGTTGAATGACCCGCATCTCAGGCAAAGAGCAATGAGCAGAGCAAGCATTCTGACTAATACTGTGGAAGGTATGTGATAAAAATTTTGGCTTATGGATTCTTAAATAAAATTAATATAAGCTATAATTACCTTTAAAGAGACTGGTGAAGTTTACTAAGAATAATTCAAAGCATATTAAAGGAGAAAAAGAACAACTAAAAAGAAATGATTTTATGAAAGAGAAGTTAAAATCTCATGAACACCTAAATTTATACGGCATTGTATTCCATTAAACCCTTTTAATGTGTTTGTTCATTCAAATAAGAAGGAGGTTACCTTTACTAAGAAACGTCACCAAAATTTACATATAATTTAGGTATATGTAAATGTAGAATAATGTATGTAAAATTTTAATAAACAGTAACTTTCATGCAAAAATGATATTTTATCAATAGTAATGAAAACCATGTGTTGGGGAGGTTTATGTGCACTTGTGTATGTGTGTATTTGTGGGTTGACAGTGAAGGTCTTTCTCTACTGTTCCTCATGTAATTTTGGGGATGTGGTCACTCACTAAACCTGGAGATCACTGATTCAACCAAACTATCTGACCACCAAGCCTAATGATTCTCTTGCCTCCACCTCCCCAGTGTTTGGGTTACTAGCATGAACAGCAGTGCCCAGGTTTTGCCTAGATTCTGGGGATCAGAATTAAGGTTCTCATGACATGGCAAGCCTTCTGAGCCTTCTCCTCAGCACCACGCTAGTGTATACTTATCTGACAGGTGCCCATATGTCTTCATTTGGTCACTAATGCCTTCTTCTGCTTCATCTCACCAACAAATATGTGGTACAAGGCTTTTATATAATCTTCTGGGCTGTCAAAGAAATAGCACTTTTCTACAAAACTTAAACCACAACATTTGTTTAAATATTAGATTTTATTTCTTATTTATACTTGGAAGTGATTAAACTATACCAATGAATGATTTCATGCTTTTTTGTTTTTTTTTTCCCCAGAACTTGAAGAATCTAGACAAAAATGTCCACCTTGGTGGTACAGATTTGCTCACACATTTTTAATCTGGAATTGTTCTCCATATTGGATAAAATTCAAAAAGTTCATCTATTTTATTGTAATGGATCCTTTTGTAGATCTTGCAATTACTATTTGCATAGTTCTAAACACGTTGTTTATGGCTATGGAGCACCACCCAATGACTGATGAGTTCAAAAATGTACTTGCTGTGGGGAACCTGGTGAGTTGTGTTCCCACAACCCTCTCCCTTTGGGTGTCATCTTGCCATCTCCTTTAGTTTTTGAAACTGGGGCGTCTACTGCTAATTGTGCAGATATTGAATTTACCATATGAATCTAGCTACAAAGCCAAGCTTCTGATTTTATACTATTTGAAGATACGTATTCATTAGTGTTGATTCCCACAAGTAGCAATACTACTTTCATGGGTGTTATCATTTCAGGAAATACAATGGATTTTAACTGCCAAAATATCTGTCAACATTTTAAAGTTTTAAATGATTTTAATAATACATTTAACTTTCTGAGTGAATACATACTTGACATGTTTTTAGAAACACTATGGGTGTGTGTATTATTCTGAAATAGTGGTACTGATGTATCCAAAACTTTATAATTTCAAAGATTTCAGTTTGAACCCAGATTCAGTCTCCTAATAATTAGGGCTTTGAACAAATATCCAGAGCTTTCTGCATTATTTTTTTCTTGTTTCTTTCTATTTCTCATTGGTATAGGCAGAAGTGTGTGCTTTCTAATGGAGGCCTAGATCATGGAAATCAGTGCTCTCTTTCTAAGTTTACTGTAGCACATGACCTCAGAGGCCCTAACTTGTCTCATCTCTACCACCACAACCCCAGAGTAGAGAGCTCCCTGCTAATGTTTTCGTGATTTTTTTAATGGTCTCACCACTTCCCTCTGAACCATTTTTGTTTATCGAAATTCTTTTGAGACAAACTGCCACAAGGAGTCACAAGCAAAAACATTTATGTTACATCTTTGAGCCTTTTTATACCTGTGTCATGACTTAATGGTGTGTTATAATACAGTCTGTGAGTCAGTGCTCTACATATCTAACTTTATATGTCCCATGTAGGTTGAACATTTTTCTTCTGCCCTTGTAAACCTTCAAAAGTCGAGTCAACATGTCCTTTATGACTCTATGAGTAGAAAGAATAGAAAAGGAGAATGCATTAAATTTTCAATATCTTAGTAGATATCTGATAGATAAATAGATATGTAATAAAGAGATGGTCAGATATATAAATAATAAATAGATACAAAAGTAAATAGATTAAATAGATACATAGATGATAGAGAGAAAATTGTATAAATGATGGGTAGATAAATAATAGATTATCAGATAGATATATAGATGATTGTAGATACAGATGCTAAATGACGATAGATAGATAGATAGATAGATAGATAGATAGATAGATGATAAATAAATGATAGGCACAAGACAGTTAACCAAATAGATGATAACAGATATCACATAGGTTGGTGTGATAGAGAAAGAAGGAAAGGAAGGGAGGTAGAAAGGGAGGGAGGGAGGGAAGGAGGGATGTATTAACAAAAGAATCATTAGTCAGTTGTCAAAACTTATATCTCTGGAATTTTAATAATATCCTTTTAAATACTGTCTCTGAAGATGAAAACTGACAAGATAACTAGAACTTTTTAAGTTTTTTATCTTTATATGAAAACTATAAAAAAAAAAATCTATGTCTCCTCTAAAGGAGGAAGCAAGACAATAGCCACTTTTGAAGTATCGAGCACATTATATGGGACATGGCCACTACTAAGTTAATAGTCATTGTCATCATCAAGTTGACTTTGAACTTTCCAATAACAGAAAAATGTTGTTTCATTTTAGATATTTACAGGGATCTTCGCAGCTGAAATGGTACTGAAGTTAATAGCCATGGATCCTTATGAGTATTTTCAAGTAGGGTGGAATATTTTTGACAGCCTAATTGTAACATTAAGTTTGGTAGAGCTTTTCCTAGCAGATGTGGAAGGATTATCAGTCCTGCGGTCATTCAGATTGGTAAGTAGAAGCTAAAGATACTATTATATTCTATAATATAGGGATATCAGGTTTCTTTTGGTTTTTATTTATTTGTTTTTGTTTTTACTCCATAGTATTATTATTTAAAATTTTTAGAAGTTGAATCAAAGGCAATATCAAATCTAACACTTAAAAAAGTAAGTCCATTCATTTACAATGGCACTTAGATGCCATTGTAATGGGTTAGAACTGCATGTTAAGTTAGGAACTTAAAATTATGATCTGTTTTGTTTTAAGGTGTATTCTAATATGATAGAAACACTTTTAATCTGATATATAATGATGTATCTTACAGTAAGAATATTATGAGTTGAAAATTTATGCATATAGTATGCCCATAGCTTTATGGATTTAATAGCTAAAGTTTAAATCTTTGTCACCCAAACAACTATGCAGTCTAAAAAATATTAAAAGTGCTAGAAAGTAAAATTAAGTTTGGGCTACCAGTTCTGAAACAACTAACATTCAAATAAGTTGCTTTCAAAATCCTCAACTAAAACGACAACTTTCTTTTCAGATTATACACAGCCATTATTATGGTAATTATAAAACAACAGGAGTATTAAAGACCGATGAAAGAAAAACATTGCCTTTAGCTAGATCATAGTAACATGGAATATGAATTACAATGTATACTTAAAACAAAATCAAGAGTAGAAACACTGAATTCTGTTTATGAATAATACTAAACTTTGTTTTTAGCTGCGAGTCTTCAAATTGGCAAAATCCTGGCCCACACTGAATATGCTCATTAAGATCATTGGCAATTCGGTGGGCGCACTGGGAAACCTGACCCTGGTGTTGGCCATCATTGTCTTCATTTTTGCCGTGGTCGGCATGCAGCTGTTTGGAAAAAGCTACAAGGAGTGTGTCTGTAAAATCAATGAGGATTGCAAGCTCCCGCGCTGGCACATGAATGACTTCTTCCATTCCTTCCTGATCGTGTTCCGAGTGTTGTGTGGAGAATGGATAGAGACCATGTGGGACTGCATGGAGGTTGCTGGCCAAGCAATGTGCCTTATTGTTTACATGATGGTCATGGTGATTGGTAACCTTGTGGTATGTAAGAGCTATTAATACATTTAAATTGTCTATTATAATTACTTTGAGATGTTATTTTGTAATTTTAAAATTAACTCTTTTAAAAGACAAAATAACATCTTTAACCTCCTTTGTCAGAAAAAATCTATATTTATATTTTCCAAATTTACCTTCTAGAAAAAGTCTTACTTTATTCTCTCATTTTGATAGTTTTATCATATGGATGAAATCTGTGATTTTCAAACTTCTTAAAACATGAAATGTCTTCAAATATGAAGCTACGGTGGTAAATAATGCATGATTAAATAATGACCACAAACTAGTAGAAGAAGGCAAATGAGAACATTGCTATTGGTCCTTATATTTCTAAAACTAGCAACTGGGCAAAGCTCAGAGTCCTTGCCTCTGTATGCCCCTTTGAGTTAGAAGGATTTTCAAATTTTATAATGTTCAAAAAGAATAAATGAAGAATATTTTATGACATATGTACATCATGTGAAGTTCAACTTATTGTCCACTCACTCTGTAGTCCATGCTGGACTTGAACTCACAGAGATCCACCTGCCTTTGCCTCCCAAGTGCTAGGATTAAAGGCATGCACCACCACTGGCCAGCTATCATTTATATTTTTCCTATGGCTGCATTCATGATCAATGTTTAAAGAGAGGCACTAATTTGAAGTAGATCTTTGTAGTATTTCATTGATATTCCTAGTAAAACACAAACATATGTTCTCAATAAAATACTAAAAAGACAACAGCTTTAAAGTACCTAACAGTTCTTGGCAATTACTCAAATTGTTTTCTATGATTCTGTATTAGCCAGACTTTGCAATACTGTAACAGACACCTGGCATAAGCATTTAAAGAATGAAAGATCTATTTGGGCTCCATTTTAACAGTTACAGCCCATAATGGCAAAGAGGGCATGTGGAGTCTGGCAGCTCACAGGATTTCAGCCAGGAAGTAGCAAGCACTTTTAAGCGGTCATCTTTTTCCTTTTTACCACTCAATTCCATCCAGATAATTAGATAATTAGGGCCTTGAAGACACCTATATTTAATTTTCATTCAGTTATGCTTATGACTCTCATGTAAAACTTTTAAAACAATTTACATGTCTTCTGCCCTCTGTGAAAAATTCACTTAGATACTTATTTCAGAAAGGAAAGGCAGAAATGACTTTCCTTTCAAAAAAGACCTTGCTTCAAGGATGCAAATTGCCCTAACCTCCTTGGCCACTTCATCCAGGACCTAAGTGATACTCTATAAAGGCAGCCAATCAGTTTCACTGTCTTGAATGAATTGAGTTCAATGTGCTTAAATCTTGACCTGAATGGTCAGCACAATGACAATAGTCTAATTTCTGCACATAATTTGCTTCCCATAAACGCAAGTGGTAATCAGAGGTGAGTGAAGAGAACCTTTGAGATTCATTAAATGGAACTTGACTTGACTGGATCACATGCCAGAACAAAAACAAACTGACAAATGGCATGATTCTCTGCTCCTCAATTCATCAGGAGCATTGATTGCTAACCCCTGCTGCCCAAGCCCCATGTCTGCATATGGAGAGAATTCTTACAAGTACATGACAAGGTGCTTTACCTTTTTGTCATTGTGGGTTTCTATTGTGACCTATATTTCTGAAAAGTATGCTTCTTTGTATCTCCTGTGTCCCTGTTTATCCCCACCCCCATCTACCCTGATATAGGTCCTGAACCTGTTTCTGGCTTTATTACTGAGTTCATTTAGTTCTGACAATCTTACAGCAATTGAAGAAGACACCGATGCAAACAACCTGCAGATTGCAGTGGCCAGAATTAAAAGAGGAATAAATTATGTAAAACGGACATTACGTGAACTTATCCTAAAATCATTTTCCAAAAAGCCAAAGGGCTCCAAGGATACAAAACGAACAGTAGATCCAAACAACAAAAAAGAAAACTATATCGCAAACCGTACACTTGCTGAGATGAGCAAAGATCACAAAGAGAGGGATAAAATGAGTGCCTTTGGGAGCAGTATAGACAAAAGTTTTATGGATGAAAATGATTACCAGTCCTTTATTCATAATCCCAGCCTCACGGTGACAGTGCCAATTGCACCTGGGGAATCTGATTTGGAAAATATGAACACTGAAGAACTTAGTAGTGACTCAGATAGCGACTACAGCAAAGAGGTAAGGCCACTGCTCAAATATTGTTGCACTAACAGTTTGTAGATGAACCAACATTTGAGATGTCTGGTGTTCTTGGGTCTAACGGATATGCTGAGAGAGAGGGTTTGCATGTGTGTGTCATTTCAAACAGCTTACTGATCATTCAGATAATATTTTTCTTGCTCCATTCTTAATGATTGATTTAAATCTGCTTAGCTAACATCTGACCTTCCCATCCTTAGTCCCTTTCTTGTTGCCACAGACAGTCTACACCCCGTCGAATTCACTTGTCATCTCCATTATTCTTACCTTTATACTCACTACCTGGCAGCTACAACTAGTCCTTCTGCCTCCATTTCTCACCTACTCCATGTATGAAAACTAATTTCACTTCAGTTCATTCCTAATCATGTGCTTCTGGTAATAGAGTCATCCTTGGTTTCTGTAAAACTTCATCCTAGAGACTCAAGCAGCTTTGACTACCACTACTTCCTCCTGCTCTCCTGCAAAGTCTTCCCAATACCAAGCAATTTTCCCTGTAAGCCATAGCATTTTCTACCTGTGTCACTTTGCTTGAGATTTCCTTCTGTGGACGAATTCTGTGGACATGTTTAAAATCTGAATCTTAAATTCTTCTGTAGAGTCATTAGCACCTAAATCACAGCTTATGTGAATGTATGCAAAGCTCTTCAGCTACCTGTTGAGTCGTTCATAATCTCTGCTCTAGTTGACAGAAACTCATCTAATTTTGAGTTCTATATAATTTTATGCCTCTCCTTGATTTATTATTTAGATTTAGATTTTCATTTCTTGAGAAATTTGGGGCAACATTAAATGGTGCTGTGAGCTAAGAACAAAAATTCTAAAAAACACATTTGCATCTTCTTTTCCCACCTCAGTCTATGTATGTCTAAGCAACTTGGTGTGTATGCTGAATTACATTTCATTTGTGTCAAATACAATAACCAAAATCCATCACTAATTACTATTTAAAATGATTCCCTGTGATAGTTTTATAATTTTCCTATTTTAGTCATAATAGAAATTATTGGTTGTTTATCAAGTATCATCAATCTGTTTAAACCTATTAAGACTTACCATCCATGAATTTATAGTCAATATATCAAAAAGGTTACATAGCATAATAATAAGCAATTCACAGTCACATACATATATACACAAAAATAGTCAATGTAGTACATATATGTCATGGTAATCATTTATTGAGTAAATATGAATATATATATATATATATATATATATATATACCACTAAGTAAACAGAGAAATTCATTTCTGTCTGATGACCAAGTCCGTATAAAAAGCCTTTATATATTTATAATCTTTTTACATGGAGAAAGCAATAGAAAAAAGTACTAATTTCAGTTTGCAGAAAATCCACCTGCATAAACATCTTGTCAATGGCATATTTCTGAATTTAGTCTCTTATAGAAAAGGAAATTAACTCAACAAGTTTCCTCCTAAGACAATGGAAGAATTGCCTGGAAGGCAATAACTCTCTAAAATAAGCCTAAAATCCTAGTTGTCAAAGAAATTTAAAAGAAGGAAAACCAACCAAAGCAACTTGAAGTTGCTTATTAACAGCCCAGAGGATTTTTGTTTTAACCTGGTCATTTTTCTTTCATTCAAAGCCAGTGGCTGAAATTGTGTGGGTTGCCTTCATCACTGACAAAATCTATTTTTGTTTCCCCAAGCAAGGTAGGCATACATCTTTTGAGAAATGACAGCCCAAGTTATGTCTGTATTCCTAGCATATCACAATTCTGACCCTGGTCCACTGTGAAAACTCTGGGCACTTTTGCTTCAGTTTTTCTAGATTAAAATGTTCCTGGGATGACTCTTCAACCTGTGCCTTGTTCTTCAGTTAGGAGCTGAGGAACACAGACTGTATTTGTCTGAAGTATGCCTCTCTTTCATGCAAATCTTCTCCGATATAATCAACATAATCTGAGGTTCCCACTTGCCCTTCCAGATTCCCAGTTGTTTATTCCCTCCCTTGGAAGTGTCTTCATTTTCTACCCTTAAATGTCAGCACATTCCTAATGAGAATTGATGACTCTAATCAGACTGTACCTAATACAAAAAAACTTCTGGTTTCATGCCACGTATTTCAGCAGTTGCCTATTTCAGAACCTACATTTTGACCAGAGGGAAAGAATACCTCTGACCTCTGAAACCTCTCCGTCTTGCCCTCATTTCCCCAAATCCCTGCCCTTTGTGGGCTGTAGCCTGTTTCCAGTATGTTTCATAGAGACATTTTAATCCTTTTTTTGTGTCACCTCTCACACAAGCAGTGATGGAAAACAATTAAATGAGTACAGCATTCAAGTCAAAAATAGTCCATAGTGAAATATCCTTCCAAAGAATGACTTGGCAAAGTATCTTAGTCAGTTATGGGCACATTATTCGAAAGACACAGTCCACCTCTGGGTCAGAAAAGACACACTGTCATCTACAGTATACTCGGGTGACTAAAACTGTCACTACATCTCAGAACATAGACACTGGACCGATGGTTCTCACTCAGACTCCTTAGGTGTTGCAAGCCCTGCAAGTATCCTGGAAGCACTATCAAACCCACAGACAATTCCCATCAGCAGTGAGTTGCTTCCTCTTTATAATCTCAGATGGAGCAAAAAATGTAGTCATTCACTCAATAAACAAATATTTCAGTTTACAATGTTCCAGGAATTGGGCTGAACTGCTGAAAGAGAAAAACAATCTTACTTTCTCTCAGCTACAAAACCCTACTGTGTGGTGTAACCAGCAAGTTAAAGTATAAAGAGCTCTGAATGAAGATGTGTGAGCTCTTGTACTGTTTTAATGGTGTACTGATATTCAAGAGCTTCAGAGACACACTCAGTAATTCAGATCATATTCTTGGATAGTTCTTGACTCCAGAGATCTGGAATTAAGATACTGTCAGAGCCACCATCCATCTGAAAGCTCTAGGGAAAGCCCCCACCCACTCTGCTGTTTCTAAGCCATATGGTAGGTGAGGGCAATCTCCACTTTCACTAGCATCTCCACAACCTAATTCTGCTGTAATGTAGTGTCCACCATGAACTTCTTTGTCTTCTTCCATTACAGAGGACTGTCCTCTGTAATGATTCATGAGAGCCATGGTTTTAACCTCATCTAACAAGACTACGTGTTGTCAAAGACTATTCCAAATAAAGAAACACAAAAAGGTACCAGGGTGACTAAACATTTTTTTTCCTTTTTTGCTAGGTAGATACACTTTGTATATTTGACTTTAAAAGGGGGGATATGTAATTATGGCATTAAAGTATACAGAAGGCAAACCAGGTTGGTGGGAGTCATGAATGCTTTTAATCCTAGCACTTGGGAGGCACAAATAGGTGGGTCTCTGAATTCAAGGCCAGTATCATTTACAGTGAGAGTTCCAGGGCAGCCAATAATACACAGAGAAACCCTGCCTCAAAAAGCCAAAAATACAAAATCAAGGAAAATGATCAAGTAAAATATACAGAAAGCAGTTAAATTTTAGGAGCTAGGCAATTTATAGACTACACTTTGAGACTTCTCTTCTGCCTCCAAATGAAGTTGTATGGTAGGTATCTAGAAACACAAGCCTAAAGGAAAAAAGAGGAGTCAACAGTGCAGAAAGGTTGAAATCATGTATGCTTCTTTGTGTCAATCATTAGAGTCATTCATAGAGAGAAAGTTATGGGATTACCTGATGGAGAATGTTCTCAGGAAACACGGCACAAGAAGATGTGTGAAGCACCACAGTAAAGGACACACTAGGCTGCTGCATTTGTAACAGCCATCTCACCTGCTCCTTCAGAATCTCTAGTACTAGCATAGTTCTTGGAGTAGTCTCAACAGAAAGCAGGGAGGTCTGGCCAGTTCCAGACTGGTAACAAGATGCAGGCTCCTACTGTCTTCCAAGAGAAGGAACGCGACATTGCAGGTTTTCAGAGAATTCAGCTTTTGGTAGCCAAACTTTCTGGAAGCCAAATCAATGAGGGGTTCACCAAAAAAAGAGGATCTGGCCATCACTCCACAGCATCTATACACTCCAGCACCCATGGACAAGAGAGCCATGTGATCTCCTGTGACACCTGAGAGGTGGATGCCAGGAGGGAGGTTGGGAGGGAGAAAACACACTTAAAGAAGAGGAAATGCATATACCAGCCAATCTGATTTATCCAGTACATATTTTTCTTCACCCTAGATAGTAGATATGATGGCCATATTTGTAGATGACTGAGATTCCAAAAGACTAATAAAGTATGTTTCCTGTAGGTGTTTCTGGAAACTTCTGTCTGAATGCCAATTCTTAATCTCAGTCCTACATGCCACAGAAAGGCAAGACAATAAATAGGAATAAAATGGCCTTCTACCAGCCCCCTGAAACAGTGAAACTCAGGATCAAATATTTTATTTGAATTGTTATATGAAATTTGTCATTTGTTGATTCACTGGGTGTCTGACATTGTACTTCTAATTGCAAATGAATCATCAATTCTGATTTACTTGCTTAGATTGCACCTTCATAATCATTATCATTATTTGGGAGGAGAGGTTTCAAGGCAGGGTTTTTCTGTGTAGCTTTGGAGCCTGTCCCGGAACTCACTATGTAAATTAGGTTGACCTCGAACATGCAGAGATCCACCTGCCTCTGGCTCCAGGAGTGCTGGGATTAAAGCCGTGCACCACCAACCCCCAGTTCCATAATCATTCTTAAACACTATATTTTGCTGGCTTAAATTCATTAACTTATAACAAGCCTTACTCCCAGACAATTAACTCTGATCTTTCATTTAATAATATTTGTGTACCCTACATATAGCACAATATACATTTATGATTATATATTAGAATAAAGGGTAATCATGTGTTATGACAATATGACTCTACTTTCGTGTGAATTATTAATAAATATTGCAAACTCCTCTAGACCAAATTCAGGCCCTTGTCGTCACACCTGATAATGTGTTCTAAGAAGCATACTGCTGGGATAACTCTAGAATT